ACATTAACATTAGTGACACATGCATGATTATAGGAGACTGACCAATCAGCACACAGCAAGAACTCAGTGCTCAAGTGAAATCCAGGTCCGTTTAATTGAAATGGTAATTTACAATTCCTGTCCTAGCTCAGAGTGTCCTCCCTGACATGGATTATCTGGTCACCCTACCATCTGCAATTCATAAAATCATACAGAACAGTCACAGATCAAAAGTAAAAATCAATATATATTCACAACTTTTTCTTTATTTTACACATGGCTTTTCCCACATATATATTTTTACATATGTAATCTTTAACCGGTTATGTATATATATATATTTATATGTTTTTTACATTTTTTTTGTAACAATTAAATAACACAAAGAACAGAACAATGAAAACAAAACAAGAATTAAAAAATAACAGGACAGACCAGAACAATTATTAAAATGCAGCAGTATAACATCATTCAGCTTCATAGTGAAGGCAGGCATGTATGTTCCCATACTCCCCTTCCCAGAATTCACAGCGTTCCTGAGGGCCTCGGGATCTCTGCTGGTTATTGCAACCCTCTACAGGTCAAATTAATTGCAGATATCATGAACTGTAGGTAAACACTTCATAACGTTCTTCTATTACCAATAAACATGATTGTTCAAATATTTTATGAAAATGCTGCATTTCCTTTTCAGTAGTTTTAAGCGTATCTTGAGAAACGACATGATCCTCCCACTACCCCCCCAGCAACCAATCACCTGTAAGCACACACATGACTGACAGATGCAAACTCTATTGCTGCTGGCTGCTGTCCGCCTGTTGGCCAACTCAGCACACACACAAAGGAGCGCAGGCCTCATGCAAAGCAGGGTAAACGCAGGAGTAGGGCGGGTGCACACAGCGCCCCCCCCCTCACCCCCCCATGGTCTCGCTTATGCACCCATGAGCATTCAGTTTCAGAGGTGGGTGGAGTTCAGCTCAGAGGTTTCGGGTCAGATCAGCCCTGCGAAGAGTTTGTCAAGCTCAGTGGCGCCCCCCAGTGTTTGCTAAGGGCACAGGCATCAGCAAAGGGGTGGCTGCATATCTGGGGTACAGGTGCTGAAACTATTAAAACATGCACACACTGATACACACACACACGAGTAGGATGAACCCAAAGATCACAGGGCTGCTAACACCTAATCTATAAAACCGCTACAGAAGATTCCGCCGTGGGATGGAGGGCAGCTATGCCTGAATCTCCCATGTGAGACACTGAATTCCCAGAATGCATTTCCACAACCGGCTTCTCTTTTCATTCACGTTCAGCAAATCAGCACAACTGCGATGGGAAAATACTGCAGGCTTGTAGCTGGATAAACTTTTACTAAAGAAGAGTATTTCAGGGTGAAGTTTGGTTGTTCTGCACATAGCAGCAGGGGAAACTGATGGCCTGAGACATACAGTTTCACCTGATGATGAGGAATAACTGAACTGTAAGATGCACGTCAGACCACCAGCCCCAATAACAGGGGGCCCAGGACTCCAGACCATCTGGACCATGAGGCCCCCCAGGACTCCTCAAATACTGAAAATGTGGCCATAGGTCCCCGCTAGCTGCTACCAGGTCACTGCTACAGCCAGTGGCTCACTGGGAGTGTAGCTTTGAGTTGCGCGGTTGCTGTGTTTGTCTAATGGGCGTTCAGTGCTGTTTTACACAGACAGGTAACACTAATAAGCCTTTTAAACTCTGAATCTATAGAAAGTCCATTAAATGCAAAGTGCAAACCCTCAAGTGAGAAAAAGGGACAGAAAAGCTCACGTTGCCATTAACACAAAACCTACCAGGCATGGAGGGAGTCTTCCAATAAAATCACAGCGACACTCTCAAGGGACAGACGCACACTCACACATTCCGTATACAGCAGTACAGACACACACTCACACGCTCCATATACAGCAGTACAGACAGACATACAGACGCATACTCACACACACACAGGATACAGCAGTACAGTCATACACTCACATACGCACAGGATTCAGCAGTACAGGCATACTTACAGACGCACGCTCACACACAGGATTCAGCAGTACAGACACACGCACACTCACGCACAGGATACAGCAGTACACACACACTGACACTATTTGAATCTCTCCTCCTACACCTCCTCCCTGCCTCCTGTAACTTCCTGCTCCTCCATCTAGGTCAACTCCCTCTCCACATCCCCCCCGTACAAGTAGCTGTTAGATCCAGGTGGCTGTACGTATTCTTCGCTTTTGTCCCAATCGGCTACCCACCCACCCCCGCCTCCACCTCCCCCTCCCCCTCCACCAGTGCCCCTCCGTGACACCTTGCTGTCCCCCAGTGGGCGCTGGCTCATGGCGCCGTACTGGCCCATTCCCCCATCACGGTACATGTCGTCCGTCGCGTCGGCGAGTTCGTCCTCGTCCAGGATGCCGCACTTCTCCTCGCTGGTGTCCTCCGCGTCGGCCCAGGGCTGCTTCTCCCCGGAAGCGAAAACACCTGCAAGGCACACAACTCGCAGTTCCTCCCAGAACTCTGACCCCTTACCCTGCCCTCTGAGCGCCAGGCGTCACAGCCGCATGCATGGACATGCCAATCGAAATGGCGTCAGTGTGATGACACGGGGAATCTCACGGCAACTCTGCTCACTGCACATGTAAGATGCTGCGTGAGATGCCAGTGGTACAGAGGGCAGCGAGCAAACAACCAACCGGAAAACGGCACACGGACAGGATGACCACAAAAGCACCAGGTGACAGAGGACAAGGTGGAAACCAGACGAGATGAAATGACAACAAAAAAGTCACACCACAAGCCCACAGACAATAGAGGAGGAAGATACAGACCGTAGAAGATCACGCCTCCATAATGAACGACTGAGGCTATGAGGAAAACATACTGCCACTCCTCGCGGGTCTGAGGTGAGAGAGAGTGAGAAAAGCAGGACCGGTGCTGAGTTTCAACATATGTCACACTCTTCACTTATGTTTTATTTGCGCATTTCTTCATGGTGTGCAGCCTGACTGTATCATCCAGCCTTCCTTGTCCGTGGCTCTGCAGACAGTACCCCATGAGTCGAGTAACTTTACAGTTTGCATCTACATTTGTTTTGCAGATGCTCATGGGAGTTTTACTTACACAATAATATTTTGAGGGCAGAAGGAAATATGATTGGTTCAGGGAGATAACCAATCAGATTGGAGATAAGGTGGGACCAAGCAACTAGAGGAGGCAGGACCAAGACATCTGATTGGTTGATCCAGCCTCCTTTAGTTGCTTGAACTCATCTCCTGTAAAATCTGATATCTATCTAAACCAATCATTTTTCCTTCTGCCCTCAGAATATTTTTGTGTAAGTAAAACTCCCATGAGTTCCCATGAGTGATGAGCAGAGATCTGGAAGCAGTGGGGGTTTGAGGCCCTATAAGGGGCACAAAAGTGAAACCTCTCTGCCAGTCACTGAACCGCTGACCTTCCAATCACAGGCACAGAGTCTGAACCCGCAGAACTGCACAACACCCCCTACCAAGCCAGGTTAGGGGATGATGCTGTGAGCATCGGCCTGCACTTTATCCCGAAAAAATCCAGACAGTACTGGAACGTAAGGGGAGGCGAATGGGAATCGATGTTCTAGTCACTACTGATACCATTTTATCAGTGTTATGATCTAGGTCAGTTATAAGATCTATGCCTTGTCCACACGTACACGGGTATTTTTTAAAACGGTGTTTTTCCTCCTCCGTTTTAAAAAAAATCCCCGTCCACATGAACATTGTCTTCTGAAATATTTCCGTCCACATGAAACCGCTAAAATGCACTGTCAAGAGCATGCCAAACCAACAGGCGGCATTATAACTCTAACTCTAACTCTAACGTTAAACAAAGTGGACAATGGCGCACAATCTGACGTTTCGAGCCAAAAACTCTGTTTTCTCTGTCTACATGTTGATGCTGAAAACGAAGTTTCTTAAAATCTTCCCCCTGGGTGGAGTTTTGCAAAAGCTCCGTTTTAAGTGACCTAAAATGCCGTTTACGTGTGGACAAAAGCCCAAGAAAAAGGTATGTTTTAAAAAATACCCGTGTACGTGTGGACAAGGCACTAGATCCAATGCAAACAAGGGGGGGGGTTGATCCAGATTGAACTTGTTTGGGTCAGAGAATCAGTGCTGACAGTGCTGGAGGCTAGAAGCATCCTGATATGCAACGTGCTCCTGAAGGGAAGATCATATTCACAGCGTCCTGCACTGATCTGCTGGTCCAGTAGGCAAAGCGTAGGGCCAAGCGGAGAGTCTGTGGCAGCTTTCTGCAGGCGGAGCTCCTCCTGACGACAGATTTAAGGCTGACGAGTCTGTAGACACTGAGGCAGAATATTTTATCCTTCTTTGTAGCAGGAACAATGACTGTGAATGTGCTTAAGCAGGCAGGAACATCACAGTGGCTGAGGAAACAGCGAAACAGGTGCCAGCCCGTCTGCAGTGTGGCAGCTGAGATCCGGCCGGCTGCTTCCCTGCAGCTTGCTGACATCCTTCCACTGCTGAGCAGTGACACACAGAGGCAGGGGTGTGGTTATAACACACAGGGCCGTGCTTCAGATGGCACAGGCTCTCTGCACAGGGCCGCCCTTCAGACTGCACAGACTCTCTGCACAGGGCCGCTCGTCAGACCACACAGACTCTCTGCAAAGGGCCGTGCTTCAGGTAGCACAGTCTCTCTGCACAGGGCAGTGCTTCAGACCGCACAGTGTCTCTGCACAGGGCTATGCTTCAGATGGCACAGACTCTCTGCACAGGGCTGGGCTTCAGACCGTACAGACTCTCTGCACAAGGCCAGGCTTCAGACCGCACAGTGTCTCTGCACATGGTCGTGCTTCAGACCGCATAGTGTCTCTGCACAGCGCCGTGCTTCAGATTGCACAGACTCTCTGCACAGGGGCTGGTTTCAGATTGCATAGTGTCTCTGCACAGGCCTACGCTTCAGACCGCATAGTGTCTCTGCACAGGGCCGC